AATTGTTCTTAGTGCTTTGTACGCTGCTGAGAGAATCTGTGATCGGAATACATATTATTAAATAAATAAATAAACAGGTAGTAAATTGCACATGCATTTCTACATCATTTGATATTCATTAGAAACACTTCTTTAGTGTGTCTTTGTAGGATAGTGATTGTTCAAAGCATTATGGAGAAACTTTTTTTTTCAGTAATCCTAATGTCTTCTTGTGGAGAGCCAATTTGGTGTAGTAGTTAAGGTATCAGGCTAGAAACTGGGAGACCATGAGTTCTAGTCCTGCTTTAGGTGCAAAGCTAGCTGGGTAAAGCCAGCTGGGTGGCCTTGGGCCAGTCACTCCCTCTCAGCCCTAGGAAGGGAGCAATGGCAAACCACTTCTGAAAAAAACCTTTGCCAAGAAAACTGCAGGGACTTGTCCAGGCAGTCGCCAAGAATGAAGACTGACTTGAAGGCACACACACACACCCCTTCAAAAAAAAGCATCCTTGTAAAGGTGGAGCAATATTTTCATCCACGGAAGTTTGTCTAGTGTTGTGTGGCTTGTGTTAAAGTTGAACTGATCCCTTCCACTTTGTTATCTTAGAAGGTTCCTTGGCAGATAAAGTCACAGAAGGAAAAGGATGACATGTTTGCTCATTTCCAAGTAAGTTCTAATCAACCTCCCAAGGTCATCCTGGCCAACTGAACTGATGAAATGCCTAACCTTTCATTCTCATATCCATTAAAGAAAATCATTTTTCACCTGGAAGAAAACCACCCCAATGGATCCATACACAATGGATATAAAGGTCCAGGTACTCTCATTAATTCCGGATGAGTGAAGATTTGTAACAATACAGAGATGATCACAGACTAACAAGTTCATAGGTGGGTTGTGAAGGTGACAGCCCTTTGTGCTTACTTTCCATCTCCAGTAATCTGTTATTCAAGAATATCATGACATCTATAATTGGCTAAGTTAATAGTTATTTACAGGGCTGCCCTCCAGCAATTTGTCCAGTCTGTTTTTAAAGCTGTCTAAACCAGACACTGTAATGAAATTTCACAGCACTGGATGCCATAAATTAAGGTGGACAATCTTCTTATAACTAGGGGCTGCATTTAACAAATTGGATGGGTCTATATTATGCATGTGGAAGGAGAGGACAGTGTTTTGAGATCATTTCAGAATCTTTATTTTTAAAATCATGCTATTTAGTTTTCCTTACAGCTTTCTGTGCTTCCTGCTTCAGGAAAACACAAAACTACACCTCTGATTTTCAACACTAGTAGTCCAAGAAGACTCTAGAGCTGAAGAAAGATTCAGATTGCAGTTGCACTTTCCTGCTATAAATGAATTGCACATTCTATTAAATACAGTTTAGTATAATAAATACTACTGGATCTTCCTGAAGTCCTTGGGGTTCTCTGAACTTGGTTCTTTTCC